TATCTTAGATAAAAGAGACCAGAGATATAACATACACCGGTTTTAAACCTGCGCAAATGTTGCCCATTTCTAAAGAAGGGTTATCGGAGTAGGGGAACTGGGCGGCGACACGCGGCGACCCGAACTCTGTGACAGGGACCGGACTTTGTTTATTAGCATCTTAATGAACTATTAGGTTTATTTAAAAGGTGTTTAATCGAATTTTGTATTATGAAATCAAATTAACGTGATTTTTTAATATCAGACAGATGCCACGACATTTTATGTAAAGAGAAGACCTTTTATAGAATATTTCGTTAGCGTTTATTTACTACGGACTTTTCTGTAAGAGATTACAGTAAAATGTTGAAATAGAATATATTGTTAATAGAGCAAAAAATGTTACTCATTGTCTACGAGTATTATAAAAATAGCATGTGCGCAGGCTAATACTGCAAATCTACCCTTATGAGTTGAACATTATATTTTTTCTACGGCTATTACATATTATTAAAAATAAGTCAAAATGAGAAAATGCTGTTTTGTATTGTAACCTCAGAAAAAGTATATTAAGGCTTCTTTCTTTAAGAATATTAATTATTATAAAGGATGAGTCACATAAAACTCTAGAAATGCATATGTCTGAAACCAGATAACATTTTAAAATTTAAATCTATTAAAAGTCATTTGGTCGCTAGGGATGAGTGATTATCGAATTAAATTATCGATAATTGAAAATAATCGATTATTTTCGATCAATAGATTATTTTCAAACAATATATTTTTTGTCATTTCCTTTGAAATCGACTACTTGATTATCTTTGAAAAATCAAAAATAATCGATTAATTAAAAAGCCAATTAACCGATAAATCAGTGTTTACAAAATATAATATAAATAGAATTATCGTTTATTTTAAATAATCGATTATTTTCAAATAAACCATTTTTTTTGTCCATGGAAACAGATTATTCGATAATCTTTGAAAAATCGAAAATAATCGATTAATCAAAAATAATCAATTAATTAAAAAGTCGATTAACTGATAAATCGATTTAAAAAAAAAACAGAATGATCGATTATTTTAAATAATTGATTATTTTCGATCAATCGATTATTATCAATAATCTATTTTTATTGTATTTCCTTTAAAATCGTTAATTCGATTATATTTGAAATACCGAAAATAATCGATAATTCCAAAATAATCGCCTAATCGAAAATAATCAATTAATTAAGAAGCCGATTCTATGATAAATCGATTATTACCAATAATCTATTTTATTGTATTTCAAAAATATTCGATTAATTAAAAAGTCGATTAACTGACAAATCGATTTTCAAAAAACCAGAATGATCGATTATTTTAAATAATCGATTATTTTCGATCAATCGATTATTATCAATAATCTATTTTTATTGTATTTCCTTTAAAATCGATAATTCGATTATCTTTGAAATACCAAAAATAATCAATAATTCCAAAATAATCGCCTAATCGAAAATAACCAATTAATTAAGAAGCCGATTCCATGATAAATCGATTCTCTAAAAAATAAAACGAATTATCTATTATTTTCTAATAATCCTTTTTTCATATTTCCTTTGAAATTGATTATTCGATTATCGAAAATAATTGATTATTAAAAAGCTGATTATCCAATAAATCGATAATTTTAAAAAAATAACCAAAATATCGATTATGTAAAATAACCGATTATATTCAATCGATTATTTTCATATAATATCTTTGAAAAATCGAAAATAATCAAATAATTAAAAAACCGATTAAACGATAAATCGATTATTTTGAATAAATCTACTTTTTTTTGTATTTCCTTTAAAATCGATTAATACATTATCTTAAAAAAAAAAACGAAAATAATTTATTAAAAACAGCGGATAAATCGATTTTCATTAAAATATATCAGAATTATCGATAAATCGATTATTTTTGTAACCCCTATCGGTCGCTTGCTTTTATCTGAGCATTTAGCTCCAAAATTTAGAAATTCGGATTTTTTGATCCAGTTATCTTTGAAATCGCATTCGCTTGTATAATAAATAAATATTGCTAAATTTTGGATTTTTTTTAGTAAACGAAAATTATGTTCGAGTTGTTTAGGGGTTTGTAATGTAACATTTTATTACCGTGATTAAGGGTCGATTCCACCGTTGTGTTAAACGAAGTTTAAAATGACATTTTTACATTAACACTCTCCGTTTAACACAACGGTGGAATCGGACCTAACTCCTGTAACTTTAGTATTTTTTTTTGCTTATACTAGATTACTTTGTTTTAAGACTGAAAATTCAATGTTACTTTCGATTTGACCGCAAATAAGATGAACCTTGAAATTTTAAGTAGGTCATCCTGTATTTCATCTAATATTCTTATAAAAATACCTTATAAAAATAAAATTTAGCTAGCAACTATGATTCTTTACCTCTTATTTATCTACCAAAAAGGGCTAAAAACTACCTTTAGAAAACATTCTTATAAAACTACTTTTTAAATACAACATTTCGTTAGCAATAATGCCTATTTACTATTTATTTAAATTAAATGTTCAAAATTTTACCCTTTTGTAAATTTATGTAAGTAATATGAAATCTGATTTCTGATGCTTAATATTTATTGAAACCCCTTAATGCGGATCTGAAGTATTCAGCCCAGATAATCATGGCGCTTTATGTCAAAACGTTAATAAATATTTACCGCTGAAAACGAATATATTCATAACAGTAGTACTTGTATTATAAGTACATACAATTTCTCAAGATACATCGTGACATTTTGAACTTGAAATTGAATAACTAGAACACTTTAAATTGCTAAAATACCAACAAATAAATCAAAAAACAGCTGTCAATGGTGATTAAACTCAGGTGGAGGTGATTGCTGAATAGAAATCGGAGCAATTCGGGTGGCGTCGTGCAACAATGATTTTCAATTGGTGGGTTACTTTGGCTTAAAATAGACAACATGCGCAGTGTGCAATGTTACATCTTCGGTCTCTTTAATCTAAGCTTTTTATTTATCTCTTCCAATAATCAATCATGAAGGTAGTTAATAATTTAATCATAGTAGCATGGTGCATTATTTGTTATCTTTACAGGTTAAATATGACTATTATTTGGAACCCGTAAAAACAGGTACAGGTTTATTCTACATCACAAAACAAGAAATTTATTAAAATTAATTAATTTTATAACAATCAGGTTTCTAATAAATAAAAGTAGTTGAAACAGTAACAAATAAAGTTCAAAATGACAAAGATAAAACATTATAACAACAATAACTCAAAACGATACAAAAATACTAATACCAAAGTTGTAAGAATGTAAGAGGAAAGCAATTTTTTTATTTCAACTCCAACACTTTCTAAAATGTTTATTAACATTTTTTTGATCAACTGTGACAAAAGTTTTCTTTAGATCAAGAAATATAACAATACAATTCAGAAATATTGGTACAGTTCATCAAATTTCTAGAGGTGTTCGACGCCCAGACAGAGAACGCGCTACGTGTGACTAAGATAGGTATTGTACAGTCTGCTAAACAAGTTATTTTAAATAGTTTTTAATATTTTTAGGTAATTAAATTTTAAAAGTGTGGAATAGTTTAGGGATTAAATTGGTCTGATTGGACTTTCTTAGAACGTTTTTAAAAGCAGCTAAAGATAGTATGTAGAATTGAAAATAATTATTATGCCATAAAAGGTGTTTTAGAATTCCTTCAACCTTTTGAAATTGAGTCAGAAAATATAAATTTTATAGGATAGCGGAAAATACCTATAATTTTTTTGTAGGCCTTTGTAAATCGTGGAAATAGTTTATATTTTATTTCTACCTTATTAAGGAAAATGGTACCTATTATTAATAACGGTTGTTTCTGAAACATTACTAAAATTTTCGAAATTTTGTTTTTCTACAAAATAATAAACTATACTATTTAAAAAAAAATTATTTCTCTTATAATTTTATAAAAAATAACAGGGGAATATTTACATTTCTTGATCTATTAAACAAAACGATAAATTATCTCGACGAATGACACCATGTTCTAGTACGGAAGCTAGCTTTATATTTTTGTTGGTGGTTTCATGGGTTTCATATCAATTTTTTGTAATTGTAGTTTACACGTACATATACCTCTTAACACTTGTTTGTTTTATTAAAAAAGTGTGTTGTTGTGATTTACGTCGAAATAAGTCAAAAACAACTTGAAACCCCATATAAAATCAAAAAGGAGAAACGGAAAAAAATTGAGCCTGTAAATGAACACAACTCAGAAACAAAAATAGCTATCTAATAATAAAAAAATAAAATTTGATTCTTGTGCAGCTTCATCTATATCATTAACTGTTTTTGGTTTTTTAATGGTTTTTCTTGGTGATGAAAATTCCGATATCTCACGGTTATCGATTCTTTTTTTTCTCTCCAGAAATGCGGACGACAGTGTTTTTAGATACTCCTGTGGCTGCAGCAACACGATCATTTACATTTTTAAATGGTATTGAAGGTGAATTAAAGTTTCCTTCTCTTCTCATAAACTCTATAACATTGGCTATTATTTCGCGAGATTGACTGTTAATCACGCGGCCTCTTAATTTGCTATTAAACTCCATACTTAGGTTCTATTAAACTGTAATGAGCAAAAAACACAAACGAAAATAAAAGAAATGTTTTAGCGAAATTTACATCTGACATTTACGTCTGAATGAAATAGTTAAATGCTTGATGCGCAGAGTGTACTTTCATTGCGTAAATCCGTCGGGATGCCTGTCAGTAGTGCTTTCTCTGTCTAGCCGTCGAAAGCCTCTAGAAATTTGATGAACTGTAATGGTGTAAAAGCTAGTCTACATAACGAGTAACTGGCCTGTCTCAGGATAGTTAGTTTTAATTTTAAATAATTGAAGTTATCAATTAAGTTTGACATATAATTGTCACATTTGGAAAATATAATACTAAACCTCTTATAAATTTGTTAATATTTGCTATAAATTGGTACCCCTTGACATGCCACAAACGCCAAAGTGGGGTAGAAGAAAAGAACAACATTCAGGCAGGTACATCATCCTCCAATACACAGCTAAAGTTACCTGAGTTTTGGAGTAAAGATCCTATGTTGTGGTTTATACAAGTAGAAGTAACAATGGTAAATAAAAATGTCATTCTACAAATATTACCAATTAATAGCTGCACTAATGTCCGAAATAGTATCTAAAGTTCGACATATATTAAAACCAATCCATAATAATTCTCATAATTGCCTTGAAAGAAAGAAATAATTAAACGATTTACCATCTCTAACACTTAAAAGGCAAAATTATTAAGGTCAGACCATGATCTTAATAGTCGCAAACCTTCACAGTTGCTACAATATATACTGCAACACCTAGAAAGAGACATTAAAGAAATATTCCTCAAGCGATTAGCATCCAATATTCGACCAGTTTTAGCAGCCCATAAAAATAATATTACTGTAGAAGAACTAGCTGAGCTAGACGACAATATAATTGAACTGTCGGACGACAAGAAAATTAATGCCATTCAGAAAGTAGAAGATCATAGCAAGTATGAAAAACTAGCCGCAGAAGTAGCTAAACTCAAGACTATGATACATCAATGTATACATTTTGCTACAAAAAAAAACATACGCACGATTCAATTTATTTATTGTTGGTACTATGAGACAAACCGAAGAAATGCTTCAGTCCATGCAGCTGGCAAGAAAAAACGAATAAAAGGCTTAACTTTCGTTTAGCCGCAATCTCTTATGCAAAAACTGTTAAAAATTGTGATGGCTATAAATAAAAAAAAAACCCACAGCTGCAATAGAAGCACTAATAGGACTCCTACCTCTTCACTATGTGATACAAGGGGAGGCAAGATTAGGTGCTTACAGATTAGAGAATACACTGGAAAATCTTGAAATTAGGCCAGGTCACATAAGGATCTCAAGGTTAGTGACAGGGGACGTACTAGACATGAGATCAGACCACATATTCAAGAGGTACCCTTTTAATACTCCATTTGAGGTTTTTATACAGAAAAGAGCAGAGATTATCATAAGGGAGCCCAATGCACAACGACAGGAACAGACGGGTCTAAGACTGCGGAAGGTACTGGAGCAGGAGTTTTCTCCAAAAACCCTGATACTAACCATAGCTATGCTATAGGAATACATTCCTTGATATTTCAGGCCGGGGTATACGCAATTTTGCAATGTGCAAAAACAAACAATGAAAGAGCTGTCTAAAATCAGCATATTCAAATAATGTCAGACAACCAAGCGGCACTTAAGGCCATATCGAGTCAGAAAGTTACGTCAAGGTTGGTATGATGATGCATTGAAGAACTAAGAACACTGGCAGACCGAAATAGAGTAAAACTATTTTGGGTGCCAGGTCACCAAAGGATCGAAGGCAACGAAAAGACTGACGAACTTGCAAAAAGAGGGTCAGAAGAAACACCGAAGAAACAAGAGACAAACCCAAGAGTACCAAAAAGTACAGTCCGGGGTTTCATAAACGACTGGATTCGGGAACAACATATTAACTATTGGGGAAGCACCCCAAAACAATCACATGGAAAAGCCTTCATAGGCAGACCATGTCCCAAAAGAACTACTCTTTATGACTAAAAGTAGTTGAAAGTGATAACAGGGTTCATGACTGGGCACGCCCCAGTAAAGGAAAAGGGACACTTGAACAAAATTTTTATGTATAATGGGGAACTCATGTGCCGACTATGTCACAAGAAACCAGAAACATACTACAGCCAAAATTGAGATACCCAGAGATTGGGCAAACCTCATTAGAATGGTTCCAAGAAATCCCCCAATACAGGTTATAGAAATGCAACAGACATATTTTTTTAATTTTAAAAGAGTTTTGAACCATCAGTACGTTCATCGTAAGATTAATACTGGATAAGAACCTGTTAATTGGTTACAAATAAAATGGTTACAGTATCGTACCGATTCACTGTCAAAAGTTTATTACAAAACTTCTTATACCCCTTCAGAGCTGTTTAAGGTACTAGATTTGTCTCGGAATACCCGTAAGTCATATGGTATGCGTTCAGCTGGATCGTCTACCTCAAAAAATCAAGATCAAGAAAAACTAACCCCAAAAAATGAAAATCTAATACCACTACCAGAGAAAAAAATTAAAGACCTTAAGGACCTAATGCCTTTCATCTCTCAAACAAGCCGAACTTTTTACGAAACTCTATTTTCAGGACCTACTGTATCGGTTGAAGACGAGTATCTACCAGATGAACGTCTTTATGAAAACTATGATGAAGATTAGGATGTTTTTAGAATGCTACTTTGTAAAACAAAAATTTTGTTATAGTTATACCTACTAATGAGTTTTATTGCTTAAAATAAAATTATTATTTCGGTATATCTCACGTATTTTATTGTCTAGGTCCACGATTTGTTAACATATTTTAATGTCAAGAAGTAACTATGTCAATAAAATATTAGGTTAGGTTAGGTTGTACCAAGCCACAGAATTTTATAATTTTATAAAAAAAATAATTGTTTGGCAAACCTAAAATATTTAAAAAAAAAAGATTTAAATACACTATAAATAAAGCATTCTAAAACTGAAATAAAAAACAGTGTGTTCAATTTAAAAATTATACATTTTTATTTACCAGTCAAAAACGCAACACCCTGTATATCCAAAAATATTTTTAAAATACATATTTTTTAAATCAAGATAACATTTATTTAAAACTGGTTTACGTGACTACAACACAAATTGAAATATTGAACAATTACGCACTAATAGGACACCCTAACTAAATAATTCATAACAAAATACTTAGGTCTATTTTTTATTACATAATTCTTTATAATAGGAAAATTCCAGGTAAAACAATTTTATGAATATGGATAATAAATATTTAAGATTAATTCAAATTTCATGCTTGGCTTGTTTATAAAATTACTGTAGTAGAACCAAATTTTTCCAACAATTTTAAATTAGTCCAACATGGACAGATTACCAGTTGCCAACCGAAATTCATAATGAGAAATAGAATCGAAGATAATTTATTTCTAAGATTGTGGTACCGCGTTGGTGCTTTAGTTTGTATATTTCCATGGAATCCCGACAATGGAAACGTTCTTATACAATCAATTGCCTCGATTTGTGTTATTTTGATTTCAGCAGCACCCGCTTTTTTGTTGGTAAAAAGTTATCAAGCCGTAGATAATATGATACTTGCATCAGTGACTTTATTAAGTTACTTACTTTTTAATTTAGCACATTTCTACAGTCTAATTAAAGAAATAACAATATGGAAGAAAAACCATTATCTGCTTTTCCGTCTAAACAAATTAATGGATTGCACTGTGTATATTTCATTTGCAAAAGTGTTGTGGTTTACAACTCTATGGACAATTATGTTATCGCTTGCTCTTTATGCAAATACAAGATTGTGGTTATCGCCATCTTATTTTCGAATATATTTAGGATTTTATTGGTTATTCATAGTTCTACAAATGTTCTCTTTCTGTGGATTTTTACTAGAAATTTCGTTAATACTGAAATATAGGATAGACTTATTATGCGAATGGATCAACATTTTGTTTGGAGATCAGTATTCCAAAAACGTAGTAATAGAAAATATTAAAATATTTGCACAAATCTACAAATATATTGTTTTTATAGTATGGAATTTGAATCGTTCGTTTGGAAAAAAGATATTGTTATTTTTGATATCTATTTTTGTAGCGTTTATGGTAAATATAGATTTTGTACTGAATTTGACTAAAACAAATAAAAATGTATTACAAGCGTCTCTGTATCAAAGCGCATATCTGTTTATAATTATGGTAAGTTTTATTGAAAATGTAAGTATTTGCACCAAAATAAATTTTGATAAAGTAAAGTTAATTGGATGAGAGTTTAACAGCTCAGTATATGTAATATGTATATCAGTCAATACTGGCACCACAGATTAACCACAACAGATGCGAAACCAAAAGATTTGAAAATGAATTTCTATGACCTTGAACTTTAAATGGGTATGGCCTCAGATAAACAAATGAATAATAGATAAGTAACGGTCTGGATGTGTTTGAAGCTAATATGAACCGTTTTATCTATTACTTTCTCTTTCTTCTTGGTCTTTGATGTGATTCATCTATTTTAAATAGCAGCGCCATTTACTTACAACTGTCAACAAGCATTTGGTAACTGTCAGTTTTGTTTGCACATTTTGTGTGATTTTATATTCCCAGGCCCTATTTTTAAAGTTTTTAGAGTGTCTAGAATGTTTGTTTAACGAATTTTGTTAGTTGTAAGTCTAAAAATTATTATTTAATGTTTGTTTGCCCTAAAACAAATTTACAGAAGTTCGACGTCGTTTCAAAGGTAAGTAAATAAAACACATGGGCGGTACACCTATATTGTAAAATATTATTAGTATTTTTTTACGCAGGCTAGAATTAGAAAAGGTTGAAGTTGATAAAATTAACATATATTGGAAATATAAAATATATTGGAAACATTTTATATTATTTTGTTATGAATTCTGCCGGAAAAGACGAATTTAAAGCTGGAAGCAATTCCTATTTTATTCACCTCTCAACTTGGTCCGTCTTCAAGTAAGTTATACAAGTAAGTTATAATAATATTATGTAATACAATACCTGATACAAATTATTCATACATTATAAACTTGGAGATTAAATTTAAAAAATAAATGCTATATTGTATTCTCCTAGACAAAGTAAAATAAATCTTAGTGCTTTCTGGAAAGAAAACATTTTACGAAAATATAAACTACTCCAAAGAGTTTCTTGTATCTTAGTAATCAAATGAATTATACTTGTAGAATGATTATGTTGTAAATATTTTATAATTCTTTTTAGGGAAAATTTACTGCCTAGTGAATGTAGTGAAAGACAGATTCTAGAAGATATTTATAATTATAATATGCACATACTGGATCAGAAAATTTAAGTTGTTCCACCGACATTGATCCAGAAGCTATAGAATAGGTTATTCAAATTATAAAGAAGATATCAATAAAAATACCCAAATTCAGAGACAAAAAGTTATGCTAAAAATAATAGATACATTTAAAAATGCCCTTTTTAAAAAAATATTTGTCACATATCATTTTGGAGATTATTAAAATATCTAAAATTCCAAAAACTTTAAAAAACATGTTAAAAGTTTATAAATGAGAAGTGTGCGAATCTAGAACAAGTCAAAGGGGGTTATTTTCTAACTTTCAGCTGAAAATGCATATCAACGAAAGCGCCAAGTAGACTTATCAACAAAGTTCGATCACCAAAACAACAAGCATGTGATTATGGTATTCTCTAATGCTAGACGATTTTGCTATTCGTATGTGATTTTAATTTTTGTTGTAATCTGTCATAATAATTATAAATCGTAAATGCTGATTTGTCTAAAGGTTAGTATTTGAATGTCAGTATGACATTATTATAATTATAAACTAAATTAGAATATATTAAGGCCAATTTCAGAATTGTAAGAAATCAAAAACAATAAACATCATACATTTGCTGACATTTTAATATTCAA